CAGTTCTGTCTCTCTTAATGAAAACTAGTATGCTTTCATACAACAAACAGTAAGCCCCCAAACTATAGTAATATCATGGTAGTATATTGCAATGTTAGTACTATATTTCTTCCCCAAAAGAAGTACATGCTAAAGAGCTTTCAAAACAGTGTGTGTGATAGTACATATTTAATACGAGAGGATTGGGCCCACTGCAAGTTCTGCAACGCCACCGAACAATGAGGCAAATTAAGTACAGAATATGAGCTTGGCGTTTCAGCTTTAACTCAGTCTCTTTTGCCTTATGTGGGTTTTAGTTTGACATAAACATTACTTTTACATTAACGCTTGCGGTTCAGTTTTTTATGCACTCCAGCTTCATCACACTCAACCCTTTATGTTTTATTAGTCAAATTCCTCTGATTCAACCAGGGTGGCAAGTTCACTCTATTTAATCCAGATTTTTAATAATAGGGAAAAAACCCAAACCAGAGCAGAATATCAAACAACCTTATTTCAAATAGCCTTTATTCACACTAGAACAAGATTAATAGCTGAATAATTATACAAAACTCAAGACAAAAGGAATTTTTACAACTTGATTAAAGACTACTTATACCAGTCCAACGCATTTATATCTACAACCAATGATTTTTTGGAGCACAATACTACTCAAAGTCACCCAATGAAAGCTTTCAGATACAAAAATGTATCAGAACTAATAACGATCCATTGGTTCCCCTTAACTGTACAACAATATTAATATTAACCTTTTATTCTAGACGAGTTCTGCACAATTGGGATGGTCCCACTGCTTTCGAAACAAGTTTGGCAACTCATTTTTTTTTCTCAGCGGCTCCTACTTTAACAGAGCTGAAAAAACAAATGACAGATGAAACTTTTTGTGCACAGAGAGCCCAACATACTACTTCTATTATAAAAACAGATAGCAAACAACAATCAACAAACAACAAAAAATTGACATTTCAACTGTGCATCTTTAAACCAGAGAAAAAAGCAGCAGTGTTGGTATATACAGCAACAAACTTGTTCTGAAAGATTTAACAGATGTCCTAAGTGTTGTTTTGTGCTGTTCCACTGAGTCCTTATTTTAAAATGTGAGGTTTAACAGGTAGTTTACCATGGCAGTAGATAAAGTAGCAAGGCGAGAGGTATGGAGAGGTTCTTCAGTCAAAATAGCATACTTGTTATATGGCTGATTCAAAACCCCCTGAAGTCAATGGAAAACTTCTCATCAGTGTCAATGTGTTTTGGGCCAAACCTTTCCTTAAAGTTGAAATGGTATCTCATATTAGAAATGGGCTCAACCAATTCAATTCAATTCTGAATCTGGTTCTGAACTTTTCCAAAGTTCAGGCATGTTTGGGTCCAGAGTTTAGGTCTTCAGTTTAGGTCTTAAGCGCTGCTTAATGGATCTCACCCAAAGCACATCAAAGTCAATGGGAGGCATTCCATTGTCTTCTGTGGAGATCAGATCTGTCTCCATGCAACTTTGCTATTGCAGATGTGCCTACAGGCATTGAATATCCAGAAATACCAAGGAAAGTACCTTAAAATTAAGGAAAAGCATTTGGAGATTTGGCAAAGAAAAATGAGCTCTTACATATTATAGTGACAGTTTATGGTTCATATCTTACACACACTCCAAGTACTACAAGACTTGACCCACAGTGTTACATTTTGATCATTCACATTCAGTTATTAAATCTGAGCAGCCTCGTATGCAGAATACTTTTATAAACGGTAATAAAATGCTGAGCTGCAGAATCCAACTCAATGAGGAGGGACTGGAGAGTATGTGCAGTATTTGCAGTAACAGCTGGAAAGTTCTTTTTGTTTTTAGCTTTTCTCTTGTGGTATGCTAGTTACTAGTGCCTGAAATTTCCCTTCTGCTGAGCTGGTAGCAAGATGCATTGGAACAAAAATCCCTTTTGGGCCAATTGAAAATATTACATTGCTAGTCCCCAAATGGGTCATTTTTGAGGTTAAAGAGGAATGTTGGTTTCAAAGTCACAAGTTCTTTTTTTTAAACAATCAGCAGACAGACAGTGAAATCGAACTAATAAAATACTGACTCCAGTTTGGATCTATTACAAAACTGAGCATTTAATTGCAAATAAAGAAGACTGTTTATTCTGTGAGAAGTGACAGAGATAAGCTATTCTTATTCCCACATCAAGCACAGAGGCTTCTGTCAGAACTAACAGATTTTGGTTTTTGTACTCTGCAAATAAAAGAATAGGCAAAATGAAAAACATAATAAGTGAAATGAAACAGTAAAAGCTGAAGAAATAATGAAATCCCCCAAACCTCTCCAAATCTAGGACTGAGTTAAGAGAATTTTTTTCCCAGCAAGTTCCTCTATCTCCATATCCTCTTTTACTTCCATATGGAGTCTGTAAACAAACAATAACATAAAAACAAACAATCCCCCCTCCACACACACACATTTTACACAAGGCCCTCTGGGTGACCTTTTAAAATGTTATCTCTGTCTTTGAAAGGACAACTGGAGCAGGACTTTCAAGTTCTCTCAAGCTCTTACATTAGATGGCATCTCTCCTTGTGGCTTGCACATTTTGGGTGCGAGGGATGACTGCATGGAGCACATTTTAAGGGGAGTGCACCTAATTGTTGGTATTCATTTTTTTTGAAGGAGAGAGGAATTTTCAGAGGTGTGGATGGCAGCTAGACACTTGGCATTAGAAGTTAATGGGAATTAGGTTCCTAATTGCCATTTGTGCCTTTGGAAATCGTCCCTTTGTTCCTATTTCCAGACAGACTGCCCTGAAAGTGTTTAGCTGTATGTCTACACAAACTAGTCTGTCTCCAATTCTTGGTCTGCACAGTACCTCTGCAGTTGGCTGCAGCACAACTTTTCTAATATTTCATCTCCATTTATGCTTCCCAGCTTTTAAGGGAGTCTGTACTCAGACAAGATATCTGCAGGAAAAAACAACATGATAGTCCAGACAGAGAATAATTTTGCAGCCTTATCCAACTAGCTATGTTTTGTTGTTCATTTTTTTCAATATAAAGACAAAGTAATCTTCATTTATATAAGAGCTATTTTTATTCTCTACTTATTTTATTAGTTTTATAAAAGAAAGAGTAGTAGATTTTTCAGTTCTGATTTCCTCAAACTGGTTTCCTTACTTTCGTGGCAAATAAAATTAAGTAGGTATGCAATCAGAGGACCAGTCCTACAGTCCTCACATTGGCTAGATTTCTGTGGACTTGGATTACTTATGTGAGAATAATGGCTGAGCCAGGACCACAGAAGTAGACCCATAACTGCTGCAACTTGTACTAAAATAAATTAGTATATGTACGATTCCAACAAGAAAAGTCTGAAAATGAATCATATGATACATTGAGTTATTAGCAGCTGAATATTCATCATTATTTTCACTACAGCCCAGTAAAGGTATTACAGTGTAGAAAAACAAGTTCGTCTTGATATTGTACTGCATGGTAACTCCATCTGGTTTATCAGATACAGGGGCTTGAAATCACGGAGTTTCCATTCTGAATTTCCTGAAAAGTCTCCCAACTGAACCATAGATTTGCACTTATGGAAATGGGGTAGTGATTGTCCCTAAAATTTGCTGAGGTTCTGACTTCCCTAGTGGGTAAGAGAACCACAACCATGTGCATCTGTATAATTCCTTTGACTCCACCTTCTCCATAGCATCATGGCTCCCATAGGAATGGAGGGTCATTTGTGTTTATTGTATGATTATTTTGGCCCACATTTTCAGAATTAATTTAATTTTGGGAGTCTCATTTTTGGTGGCCAACTTTAGATACAAGGGGAATAATTTTCAGAAGTTAACACAAGCTCAAATCAGTTGGCACCAAGAATCTGGCATTCCTCTGTAAATCAGTTCTGAGGTGCCAAAACTTGAGACTGAAAAATGGAAACACCAAAAATTAGTGAACACTTTTGAAAATTTGGGCTTGATTTCAATTAAAGGCAAGTGTTTTTAAGTGGATGGGTAGGATTATTGACCAAGAGATATGGCTAAAATCTGTGCCTAAATGCAGGAGAGTCTAACAGCATCCCATGGGGAGCTATCATTGGCCATAAAGAAAAAACAATGTGAGAAGAAAACAACAGCACGTGAAACTGCCCTCTCAGAAAGCACTGATCTGTTTTGAAGAGAATGTTGATATTCTCCGTAAGCCTCACGGTATGTCTACTACACTGCAGAGATTTTCTGAAAAAATTTCAATTATGTCCACACTGCAATCACGTTCTTTTGGGGGGAAAAATTGAAAGAACAGAGAGATTTTTCCGACTTTGGTAAACCTCTTTCTATGAAGAAGAAGCCTTTTTTTGAAAGAGCTTTTTCGGAAAAAGGTGTGTGTGGACAGGGAAGAGGAAGTTCTTTCGAAAGAAGAGGAAAGAGGAAAAAGCACTGGTGCCCTGGTGGCCAGGGCCGGACTAATGGGTGGGCTAGCCGGGCATCTGCCCAGAGCACCAACGTATGGGGGGCACCCGGCTCCCGGCGGGTTGCAGCGGCCGCCTGGGTTGGGGGCAGTGTTAACCCCCGCAGCACTGGCCAGCAGCACTGTTCCCCTGGCAGCCACAGGGCCCTGCATGGCCAGGCGCAGCCCACCTGGGCTGCACACCATTGGCGGTGGCTAGGCCAACTGAGCAGTGCATTCGGCGTGCATCCACCCACGCACCCCGGGGGTGGGCCCGCGCATGCGTCGTGTGCCAGGAGGTGAGGCTGCGTGTCCCGGGGGTGGGCCCGTGCATGCGTCATGCGCCCGGAGGCGGGGCCATGTGTCCTGGGGGCGGCGCCGTGCGCCTGGGTCTCAGGGCACTAAAATGGCTCGGGCCGGCCCTCTGGGTGGCCACTCGGTCCACAGTAATCACATCTTAAATGAGAGATAGTGTCCATTCAGTGTGGAAGCTATCCTCTGAAAAAGCAGATCGCTTTTTCGATGCACTTTTGCTGTGTAGATGCTCTCTTTCAAAATAAGTTTTCCTGGAAGATCTCTTCTGGAAAAGCTTCTTCCGAAAGAAGCCTGCAGTCTAGACGTAGCCTCAATCATGTCCCACAGGCTATACTATGTCTTGTAATGGTATAATCAAAAAGCAATGGTACTCTGAACTTGCAAATATAGGGCCTGATCTTTCTTCCATTGAAATCAACAAGTGTTTTGCTGTTGACTTCAGTAGAAACAAGAGCAGGCACATGTTCATTTGTAATTAATCCTGCATGTAGTTTATCTGCACATTTGGTTATCTAAATGATACTAACTGGAATCAACAATGTACGGTCTCATATATGAATGTGTGTATATATGAAAAGCATGAATGTGTGATTTATTTAACACTGTGTTTTTAATCCAAATGGTCTTGGAATTTGTAAAATGATTCCAATTACCAAGACTGACTTAGCTGAGGCTTGCACATGTCCCCTCCCCCCCGCATATAAGTATAGAGCTAAATTAGTATATATTAGTAATTCTCAGGGCTCAACAATCTATTGAATCTACTTGCCCATGACGAGTAAATTTCAGCCTGGCGCCCCGTTTACCAGCGGCACGCGCATGCGCAATGCGGCTCTTGCGCATGCGCAGTGTGGGGCTGGCGAATGGCTTTCGCCGCAGTTCGTCAAGCCCTGGTAATTCTTATTTGCATATATTCTAGAAAATAAAAAATATATTTTAGGTTAATTTAAAATCCTCCCAATTACATTTCTAATTAAAATATTACACTACATTGTTTTAAATCAGGACAAACATTTTAAAATGCCCAATCCATCAGCCACGGTTCTTTGTTGAAGCAGTTTCTTTGACGATTACTAAAAAACTGCAATAACTGACAAGTGAGATTGTCATGACAAGTTCCTTTGCTAATACAGGCCCAAATCCTGATTGCTTTATTCATCCGAACAGTCCCATTCAAGTGAATGAATTATATTCAGCTTTGGTGTAATTCCAGGGGAAAGAAGTACACCAAAATGAATTTAGCCTGTTGGGACTATTTGCATTAGTAAAATAAGCAGGAATTATCTCATAAAAGTATGGGCAGAATTTTAGGTTTTTTTACATTAATGAATGGTATATATAACATAACTCTTGCAAAACAGAAGTTTACTTCATGTTGTAGGAAATTACATTCCTTTCAGATTTCCTATTTCAAAGGGTGCCTCAAATTTTCCAAGATTTCCAAAAAAGCTTTTGTGTAAGTAATAAAAGTCTTTAAAATTAAAATGCTAATTGTAAACAAACTCAAAAGCATGAAAAATACATTCTGACTGCATAACAAAAGAGAATTATATAATTCTATTTGAGTGAAATCTTTCATCTTTGATTTACAGGTTTGAGTCCCCTATAACTGAAACCATATTGTTCCATATCTTTCATATCATGGCATTCCCCAAAATCTTGTTTTAATTAAGGTTTCTTTCAGATTTCTGAATAAAAAGCATGACAGTCTTCACTTATGGCTTTAATATATCCTTTGAGTTTGGAAAATATATAAAAAATGAACATCACTTACTTTCAAAAGCAAAGCCAGCCATCAAATACGGCAAGTAGAATTCTTCAAGGTAAGTAAAAACAGCTCCCAGGGTTCGTTAGGTGGGGGAATTTGTAAACAAAGCAAAACTTGCTGTATCACAATTTGTGTTCATTTAGTTCATTTAAAGTACTCTACATAAATGCCCTGTTCCCTTTTACCTTCTCTGACAGTTAAGGCAACATGGGTAATAATTTGTGTTCATTATCAGCTAAAGGCACAATTCTATGTTACGTTCTCAAATATTAATTTGAGGAGTTGGCATCACATTTTGCTACTTTTAAGGATCTACAATATAGACTAAATCCTTTGAAACTTTTTAAGCAACACTAACTTCTGTGTGTCTGCAAATCTGTTTGCATTCAGATGGTGATGTGTAAAACCACTCAGCAAATCATTGCAGGAACACCTGTGCTTCAAATGAGCTGCACAGAGATACTTAAGTTTTCTCTTCTTAAAATCAGGATGCAAAATAAACTAAAATAACTTTTGAAAAATCATCCATTTTCCAGAGACTATTTGAGTCTCCAAAGCACATATGCTGAGAGCAACTGTCAACTATGAAGAGTGCAGAAGATTGCTCATTTAGAGAACATTGATTATGGTATCATTGATATAAATTATACATTAAAGATGGGATATAATTCTAGAAAGAAAAGAAAAGAAAAGAAAAGAAAAGAAAAGAAAGCATCACTAAGCACAGTACTTTTGGGGGAGGAAGTATAGTATGCAATACTTTCCTTTTAGCTAAAATTCCCTCATCTTAATTTACATGTCTTTAGTTTATCCAAACAAGAATTCAATACATTGTCTTAAAAACACATGGTTTATGAGCTATCTATTATTTCATTACACTGAACACAGAAAATAAAGTCTATTAACAAATTAATAGTGTGAAAAGAATTATCCAGTAAAAAGTGTTTCAGAATGTCAGAAATAGAGATTCGTGGAGTTTCCCCAGAATTTTGCTGGATGTTGCAATTCTTGTAGCTATCAATAATCTATCATGTAGAATATTTTAATATTTCTATTTCACATTTTATGTCAGCGAGTTGGTCACACAGCATATTGAAAGCATGCTCTAGGCTCTTTCTCCCAAGCCTGGTTTATTGTAACTTTAGAATTGTAGCAGTTACATTTAAGGAATCTTTTAGGGCCCTTTCAAGTCCATCCAAAGAACAAGTGAAGCTGCTGTTCAGAGTTTTGTGCCCAGTGTTTATGTTCCATCTGATCTGTGCCACCCAAGCAGCAGACAAGACATGTCTGAGGGTGCTTTGGGGGGATACACAATGATGTCACACACAGGAAATATCAGAGAGGACTTGGCACTTCACAAGGTTGGCTCTTCTTCCATGGGCTCGCCAGCAGCTCTGTAAAAATAAACAGGCAATCAGAATACAGCGCAAGAGTACACAATGCCATTGTAGATTTTCATGCATAATCAAAGCTGATTTTTCAGCTCTCTCTGATGTTTATTTGTGTTATTCAGTTATCCATAAATAGAGTTTCTTTCTTAGGAAGTATAAACAAATGTCAAGTGGAAAAACATTTTAGATCTAAGCAATCACTGCAAATGTTCCTGTTTATATTAAAATATGTCAGAATATTGTATAACTTTAAGTTCAAAATTGTACATGCTTTGTGTCAGCTGAGTCAAATAATCTAATGAAAAAATTAAATGTGATGCTTTTATTTCTCAAGCATCTGCAACTAAAAATAAATTACTCATCTTCAAATGGGACCATGCCATTAAAACCATGTAGTTAGCTGACATGCCAGTTTTCTGATTTTTGCTTCTGCACTTTCATAACTACTGTGGTTGGCTGCCTGCCTTCCTAAAATTTCTAAGACCACATTCTGAATTTGATTAGCAGAGCTCTGCCATACAGCAGGTATCTATTAATAATGTATAATCAGATTAGACACCTACCCTTTATTAGAAATCATCTGGGAGACATTCCGCTCAGGAAAAACCCAAATGGACTGTTAAAGATGCACAGCTGGTGTAAACTATCATAGCTCTATGACAAATTATGCCAGTAGAGGATCTGCCCCAGGATCAGCATCCACTATATAAGGGATTTTCAGAGATTATATTAAAAACCTCATTGTTTAAGGGCTTAAGAATTTGGACACAGCCACTTTTTCCCTAACAAATAATTTGACAAACAATATCTAAGCTTGGAACTTCAACTGAAAAAAAAAAAGGCAGTTCAAGCCATTTTTTAAATGAGAGGAGGGCTAAATAAGAAAAGAGGTATTCACCAGTAAATCTCACTTAATGTTTGGAATCAATAAAACCTCCCCCAGGAAGTGGAAGGTCTCTTGCAAGACCTAGAAAATTAATTATTTGAGGCTTGCAGAGCCTTACATGGATTTCTGCAACAAGAAAGCCAAAGAACTTTAACTGAATCTGGACTTTATTTAAGGCTCTCCCAATGAAAATTCAGCAGTGTCTCTTTAAAGGAATTATACAGGTTATTAATCCAATCACTAATCACTTCTGGTATTTTGAAAATAATAAAATAAAATAAATGAGATATGAAAAAGCAAATGTCTTGTAACTTGTACTTTCCATAAAGATTTTTACAGTGTGTATAAATCCATAAAGCACAAATCTCCCTTTTTGCCCACACTGTGGAGGGTCTCATATTCAACATAACCACTCACATTCTGCTGCTCCTGGGAGTGGAAAGGGAATGGAATTTATGTAAGCGCTGTGTAAGTGTACACCCGTTCATTCAGCTCTGTGTGGGCATGTCTACCCTGGGAAGTTATTTCGAAATAAGTTATTTCAAAATAATTACTTAGAATCATAGAATCATAGACAACTAGGACTGGAAGGGACCTCGAGAGGTCATTGAGTCCAGTCCCCTGCCCTCATGGCAGGACCATATACTGTCTAGACCATCCCTGGGAGACATTTATCTAACCTACTCTTAAATATCCCCACAGATGGAGATTCCACAACCTCCCTGGCCAATTTATTCCAGTGTTTGACTAACCTGACAGTTACCAACCTAAACCTCCCTTGCTGCAGTTTAAGCCCATTGCTTCTTGTTCTATCCCCAGAGGCCAAGATGAACAAGTTTTCTCCCTCCTCCTTATGACACCCTTTTAGATACCTGAAAACGACTATCATGTCCCCCCTCAAGATGGAGATTCCACAACCTCCCTGGCCAATTTATTCCAGTGTTTGACTAACCTGACAGTTACCAACCTAAACCTCCCTTGCTGCAGTTTAAGCCCATTGCTTCTTGTTCTATCCCCAGAGGCCAAGATGAACAAGTTTTCTCCCTCCTCCTTATGACACCCTTTTAGATACCTGAAAACGACTATCATGTCCCCCCTCAATCTTCTCTTTTCTAAATTAAACAAACGTAATTCCTTCAGCCTTCCCCCATAGGTCATGTTCTCTAGACCTTTAATCATTCTCGTTGCTCTTCTCTGGACCCTCTCCAATTTCTCTACATCTTTCTTGAAATGCGGTGCCCAGAACTGGACACAATACTCCAATTGAGGCCTAACCAGCGCAGAGTAGAGCAGAAGTTGTCTTGCTCACAACACACCTGTTAATGCATCCCAGAATCATGTTTGCTTTCTTTGCAACAGCATCACACTGCTGACTCATATTCAGCTTGTGGTCCACTATGACCTCTAGATCTCTTTCTGCCGTATTCCTTCCCAGAGAGTCGCTTCCCATTCTGTATGTATGAAACTGATTGCTCCTTCCTAGGTGGAGCACTTTGCATTTGTCTTTATTAAAATTCATCCGGTTTACCTCAGACCATTTCTCCAATTTGTCCAGGTCATTTTGAATTATGACCCTATCCTCCAGATTAGTCGCAACTCCTCCCAGCTTGGTATCATCTGCAAACTTAATAAG